ATGTATATGTATATGTATATGTATATGTATATGTATATGTATATGTATATGTATATGTATATGTATATGTATATGTATATGTATATGTATATGTATATGTATATGTATATGTATATGTATATGTATATGTATATGTATATGTATATGTATATGTATATGTATATGTATATGTATATGTATATGTATATGTATATGTATATGTATATGTATATGTATATGTATATGTATATGTATATGTATATGTATATGTATATGTATATGTATATGTATATGTATATGTATATGTATATGTATATGTATATGTATATGTATATGTATATGTATATGTATATGTATATGTATATGTATATGTATATGTATATGTATATGTATATGTATATGTATATGTATATGTATATGTATATGTATATGTATATGTATATGTATATGTATATGTATATGTATATGTATATGTATATGTATATGTATATGTATATGTATATGTATATGTATATGTATATGTATATGTATATGTATATGTATATGTATATGTATATGTATATGTATATGTATATGTATATGTATATGTATATGTATATGTATATGTATATGTATATGTATATGTATATGTATATGTATATGTATATGTATATGTATATGTATATGTATATGTATATGTATATGTATATGTATATGTATATGTATATGTATATGTATATGTATATGTATATGTATATGTATATGTATATGTATATGTATATGTATATGTATATGTATATGTATATGTATATGTATATGTATATGTATATGTATATGTATATGTATATGTATATGTATATGTATATGTATATGTATATGTATATGTATATGTATAGGCCGAGATATTTCACAAAAAAAATATATATATATCACAGCATTTTTCTGGTGGCATTGAGATAAAGTAGCATTATTTCTTCTTTTTTTCCTTTTTGTTAATCAGAAATACACATGGTTAAAAATCAGTTTGAACAACTGCAAATAGTCACACACTCTATTTTGATTTCTCAACTTGCAACATTGGCAAAAGACATAGAAACAGGAGTTTTCTCATATTGAATATATAATTGCCAAATGTACATTACCCTGTTCTCCCAAATAATATGTTCTCTGGCTTATTGACAGGTTGTAACATTTGATAGCGGAGGTGTAAGTGGTCATATCAACCATTCATCCCTTTACTCTGCTCTTCAGCATTTGGTGGAAGAAGATTATTTGCCTGAAAGTAAGTAATGAAGGACACTCTTATTTTATTAGAAAAAAGTATAAATTACAATAAATAAATCCACTGTGCAAGATTTACAAGATTTGTATAATATCTTCAACAGAACTACATCATGTAATTATAATAGACTGCATGCAAATGACATATTTTACATTATTCAGTTACACCATATATTACATTTGTTGCAAGGAAGTTTGAAGAAAATAACCTAAGTATGCTTGTAAATACGTCAACAGTTGATTTTCTTTGCCTTCCAGATTGTGAAGCTTTCTCATTGGACACAGTGAATATCCTGAGGAAGTATTCGTCCCTCCTTGACGTCCCCCTCAGCTATGCTCTCTCGTCATGTGCCTTCACTGTAGATCGTAAGCAGTACTCAATTATACAGGTAAGCCACTAAGTTTCCTTTGCTCTGACTCTGATTTTCCGAACATACAGTGTCTTTTGTGATTGATTTTTTAACAAAATGTGCTTTGGATGTATTTGTTTCTGTTTCATAACCAAACCCTAGTTTCACAGATGAGTGATTTTATTCATAAAATATTTTTCTTTCAGAGAGCAATGAGGGCACACATCAGTCAGTATGTATGGTTTAGGAAACTGTACATGTTTTTCTCTCGATATGTACTTATCAATACGCTCTCAAGAGTTTCTCCTTAATTCACTATAAATATATGTATATATACATATATGTGTGTGTGTGTGTGTGTGTGTGTGTGTGTAATTAATATATGTATATATATATATATATATATATATATATATATATATATATATATATATATATATATATATATATATATATATATATATATATGTATATGTATATGTATATGTATATGTATATGTATATGTATATAGATATAGATATAGATATAGACATACACACACATATAGTCACACACATATATTCACACACACATATTCACACACACATATTCACACACACACATATTCACACACACATATATGCACACACATATGCACACATATACACACCCACCTATACACACATACACATAAATATGCACACATGAACATGCACACATGAACATGCAAACATGAATATGCACACATGAACATGCACACATGAATATGCACACATAAAAATACACATATAAATATGCACACATACATATGCAAACATACATATACACACACACATATATGCACACACACGCACATATGCACACACACGCACATATGCACACACACGCACATATGCACACACACACGCACATATGCACACACACACGCACA